AACCCACAGTTCTATAGGTCGCCACATTAACATTCAGTGTTTATGATTCCTTTGTCATTTGTACGCAACTAATTACTTATTAAATATCAATTACGCGTCATAAATCGCAAAAGAAAATTTAGTGCCCAATTATGATCAAAATATTTTTATTGTAATTCCCGTCGAGCATCGCACAAGCTCCAGTCAGTAAGCTTACTGGACACAAGCTCCAGTCAGTAAGCTTACTGGACACAAGCTCCGGTCAGTAAGCTTACTGGACACAAGCTCCGGTCAGTAAGCTTATCGGACACAAGCTCCGGTCAGTAAGCTTACTGGACACAAGCTCCAGTCAGTAAGCTTACTGGACACAAGCTCCAGTCAGTAAGCTTACTGGACACAAGCTCCAGTCAGTAAGCTTACTGGACACAAGCTCCGGTCAGTAAGCTTACTGGACACAAGCTCCGGTCAGTAAGCTTACTGGACACAAGCTCCGGTCAGTAAGCTTACTGGACACAAGCTCCGGTCAGTAAGCTTACTGGACACAAGCTCCGGTCAGTAAGCTTACTGGACACAAGCTCCGGTCAGTAAGCTTTCTGGACACAAGCTCCGGCCAGTAAGCTTACTGGACACAAGCTCCGGTCAGTAAGCTTACTGGACACAAGCTCCGGCCAGTAAGCTTACTGGACACAAGCTCCAGTCAGTAAGCTTACTGGACACAAGCTCCAGTCAGTAAGCTTACTGGACACAAGCTCCGGTCAGTAAGCTTACTGGACACAAGCTCCGGCCAGTAAGCTTACTGGACACAAGCTCCGGTCAGTAAGCTTACTGGACACAAGCTCCGGTCAGTAAGCTTACTGGACACAAGCTCGGCCAGTAAGCTTACTGGACACAAGCTCCGGCCAGTAAGCTTTTGGGACACAAGCTCCGGTCAGTAAGCTTACTGGACACAAGCTCCGGTCAGTAAGCTTATCGGACACAAGCTCCGGTCAGTAAGCTTACTTGACACAAGCTCCGGTCAGTAAGCTTACTGGACACAAGCTCCGGTCAGTAAGCTTACTGGACACAAGCTCAGGTCAGTAAGCTTACTGGACACAAGCTCCGGCCAGTAAGCTTACTGGACACAAGCTCCGGCAGTAAGCTTTTGGGACACAAGCTCCGGTCAGTAAGCTTACTGGACACAAGCTCCGGTCAGTAAGCTTACTGGACACAAGCTCCGGTCAGTAAGCTTTTGGGACACAAGCTTCGGTCAGTAAGCTTTTGGGACACAAGCTCCGGTCAGTAAGCTTACTGGACACAAGCTTCGGTCAGTAAGCTTTTGGGACACAAGCTTCGGTCAGTAAGCTTACTGGACACAAGCTTCGGTCAGTAAGCTTACTGGACACAAGCTTCGGTCAGTAAGCTTACTGGACACAAGCTTCGGTCAGTAAGCTTACTGGACACAAGCTTCGGTCAGTAAGCTTACTGGACACAAGCTCCGGTCAGTAAGCTTATCGGACACAAGCTCAGGTCAGTAAGCTTTTACTCAGCAACCCCTCCTCACATTCCTCCAGCAACCCCTCCCCACCCCAGCACCATCCTACACAGTTGACAACATAAGCTCAGACAAACATTGACAACAGAGCTCCACAACCTACTTTAAGTTCAATAAAACAAATCAGCAAATTCAATTGAATAAAATGTATTAGCTGGGAAGAAAAGATAAGTATTGCCTCCCTAAGTCAGTGTCCCAAGAAAATAGGCAAAACAGTACTATATATATATATATATATATATATATATATATATATATATATATATATATATATATATATATATATATAATATATATATATATATATATATATACTTGTCACATACAACTCCGAAAGGAGAATTTTTTTTATCAATTGGAACTAGAGAGGTGCATTCTTTTAGAGGCGTAGAAAGCTAACTTCACAACTGCCCAAACGTTTCAGGCTCTACCAAGAACGAAAAGGAAGGATATGTAGCGGAGTTGAGGGGATTTAAATGAAACTGCAAAATTTTTATAAAATTCAGGAGAGACGAATAGGACAAAAAGCCATCAGTGAAATTGAGATGAGACCAAAATATATCTTTTATGCAAAAAATTGCAGAGCAAAAACTACATGTGATATTTCACCGTTGGGAAAGGTACAGGGGAGGACCTTTGAGTGATAGCAGTGATAGCAGAGAGATGAATGAAATACTAAAGTCACAGTTTGACTGTTTTCAGTTAACACCGAAATGCACTGAAAATATAAACTCCAAACGAATCTTCCATGAACATTATTCAAACTTCGACCCATGTCTAAGGCCTACCCACTGGACTTTAAAGGAGCGACTGACAGCATGCCTAAGCGTTTTGCACCAGGCCCATATTCCTGGCAACAGATAAGATCCACCAGACTGTCTCCACATCCACAGTCTCTTCCACCAGACTGATGGAACCAGACGGGTAAATGAACCAAAGAAAACAGCATGAAGTTCAATGAACCCCAACGCTATGATACAAAACCCAAAATCAAAACAGGGAGAATCACACATGAAATCCAGACCAATCACACCATAGAAAAAACCCGGGGAGAAATCTTGTTAGAGAACCATATTTTTAAAAGAACACAATAGAAAGTGAAGGGACGACGACGTTTCGAGAATGCGAATGACTTGAGAATGGTCCAGGACGGACCGAAACGTCCTCGTCTCTTCACCTTCTAGTGTGTGGTTTGGTCAACATACTTCAGCCACGTTATTGTGACTCCTCGTCTGCACAATAGAAAGTAGCTGTCATACTGGCAAGACAATGTACCTGATAACATTGTACCTGATAAGGCCTGATAACAGCCTTAGGAGATGTTAGACTATTGATGGTAATTTTTTAAGACACTAGTGCTCTTTAAGGTGGAATATAATTGTTCTACAGAGCGTGTGGAGAACGCTTCCTACCGTTTCAACTCATGAAACATCTAAATTATTGGGATCCTCTGAAAATTTCTCGATCTGTAATCTTCTGAACGCTGGCGAAAAATAGTAAGTTAAACTTGGAAAATATCAGCGAGACTATTACGAAACCATGAGGCATGGCAGGAAGTGCAAAATAATCCCGTTACAAATTTAAAGTGCAATGGTTACGTTGAGAGAGACTCAACATTAAGGGCTAAAAATGTGTCAACATCGTCCCACAGGGAGCCGGTCGGCCGAGCGGACAGCACGCTGGGCTTGTGATCCTGTGGTCCTGGGTTCGATCCCAGGCGCCGGCGAGAAACAATGGGCAGAGTTTCTTTCACCCTATGCCCCTGTTACCTAGCAGTAAAATAGGTACCTGGGTGTTAGTCAGCTGTCATGGGCTGCTTCCTGAGGGTGGAGGCCTGGTCGAGGACCGGGCCGCGGGGACACTAAAGCTCCGAAATCATCTCAAGATAACCACTAAATATGTGGGATGTAACTAGCCGATCTCTTACAGTGTTCAAAACTGAAATTGATTAACAGCTGCCAATGATACTTGATCAACAGTTAAACTGGGAACAGCAACGTCAAACAGCCTAGCTAACGAGACCACCAACCAGGAAGCCTGGTCAGAGACAACACCAATTTGCTCCCACAGCAAATATAAATATTTGACCTGGCCGGGGACCGGGCCGCGGGGACATAGAGCCCCCAAAACCATCGCAAAACCTCCAGTCCTTCATAATTCCCATACTTAAAAAAAAACCACCCGATTAAAACAAAATAAAACATAAAAAATCCCCACCGCAAAAGAGCTGTTGTGTACTGAAATCCGAGAATATATATTTCAGTGTTCAGTGAGGTACACAACTTCCGCCTCAGGGCTGACAGTGGACGGATTTTTCTTAGGACTAAAAGTCTGCTGTGTGTGTGTGTGTGTGTGTGTGTGTGTGTGTGTGTGTGTGTTTGTTTGTGTGTGTGTGTGTGTGTGTGTGTGTGTGTGTGTGTGTGTGTGTGTGTGTGTGTGTGTGAGTGTGTGTGTGTGTGTGTGCGGTCCTTCTTTCCGCTTTTATCTGGGTTGTGGGCTCACAGATCTTTTTTTTCTTTATGTTTACATACGAGTTTATCTGACCGTCGGTGTTGCTAGCGGCTCTATATATATATATATATATATATAGATATATATATATATATATATATATATATATATATATATATATATATATATTATATATATATATATATATTGAAGTTAATGAGATGAAGTCAATAAAGGTTAATACACATTGTGTAATATACATTTATTTTGCAACTAGCATTCAATCTATTTCGAATCTGTATATAAATCAGGTGTATAGGTTTCAATATCAGATCCTGGGCCTAGGTGCATGCCCCTTACATAGGTCTAGACCCTGCTACAAGGGTGGGATCAGTACTGGCACTCTTGTTGTCCTCTGAATGTATTGTTTAATGGGCTTCACCTCTTGTCCTTGTCTGCTTCAATAGTTAAGTGAGGAGCGCGTAGCAACAGTGTACATGGGTTAGTCTATTGTTGCTGGATCGTGGGTGTGTGTGGGTGTGTGTGGGTGTTGTGGGTGGGTGTGTGTGGGTGTGGCGGGTGAGTGAGAGGGGAGGGAAGGTCGGGTGATGTGATGACGGAGCAGGAAAGGAAAGGAATTATCAAGGGAAAGCGCCAATCTATTACGACTATATAGCACTGGGAAAGGGGTCAGGATAAGGATTTGGGATGGTACGGAGGGAAAGGCAGAGTGTCCAACCACTTGGCCACAGACGGAGCAGGAGGAGGAAGAGGAGAAGAAAGAGGAAGAGAAGACTAAGACGTCAGAGAAGGGGAGGAGGAGGGAAGAAGAGAGGTGACTCGTTAGCCCGGCTATTCGATTCGTTAACTGTCACTGTGTTCGTTTAATTTCCTTGTTTGCCTTATTCACCTCTTTATTGATTGGCGCGTGGAATCCTA